TGGAAAGTGCTGAATTGTTAACATGCCACAGGATGGGATAAGACCAGGATGCCTGTCAGACGTTTGAATTAACCTTTAAAATTGGGGAGGGGGAAAAAATCCATTCAAGCCGAGGCAGTGGAGGCCTTGTGATAATCTGTGTTTCCTGAAGCGAAGAGATTAAAGCTTCTCATGCTTCTTAGCAAGATCATATGATGGACTCCTGATCCCCGCCAAGAGGCATTTTCCCAGGAATGTGCCGGCTTTCTAAAGGGATGCTCAAGGACTTTCCTATTACATTGGGGCTCTGAAACCTTTGGTTTGGGATTTGATTTTATTAACTGGTGGAGGAACTGGTGCGGATGGGTGGGTGGGTGGGTGTGAGAGAGAGAGGGAGGGAGGGAGGGAGGGAGGGAGGGAGAGGGAGAGAAATAGTGTGTGTGTGTGTGTGAGAGAGAGAGAGAGAGAGAGAAAGAGAGAAATAGTGTATGTAAGAGATAGATAGATGATAGATGATAGATAGATAGATAGATAGATAGATAGAGGGAGAGAAAGAAAGAAAGAAAGAAAGAAAGAAATTGTATATGTGTGTGTGAGAAATAGTGTGTGTGAGAGATAGAGACAGAGAAAGAGAGAGAAAGAGAGAGAGAGACTGAGAGAAAGAAATAGTGTGTGTGCGCGTGTGAGAGAGAAATAGTGTGTGTAAGAGACAGAGATAGAGAGAGAGAGAAATAACATAACATAGATAGATAGAGATAGATAGATAAAGAGAGAGAGAGAAATAAATTGTATATGTATGTGTGTGAGAGAAAGTGTGTGAGAGATAGAGACAGAGAAATAATGTAAGAGAGAAAAGAGAGAGAGAGACTGAGAGAGAGAAATAGTGTGTGTAAGAGATAGAGATAGAGAGAGAAATAGCATAAGATAGATAGATAGATAGATAGATAGATAGATAGATAGATAGATAGATAGATAGATAGATAGATAGAGGAGGGAGAGAAAGAAAGAAAGAAAGAAAGAAAGAAAGAGAGAGAGAGAGAGAGAGAGAGAAAGAAAGAAAGAGAAGAAAAAAGAAAGAAAGAAAGAAAGAAAGAAAGAAAGAAAGAAAGAAAAGAAAGAAATGGTATATGTGTGTGAGAAATAGTGTGTGTGAGAGATAGAGACAGAGAAATAATGTAAGAGAGAGAAAGAGAGAGAGAGACTGAGAAAGAAATAGTGTGTGTGTGCATGTGAGAGAGAAATAGTGTGTGTAAGAGATAGATAGAGAGAGAGAGAAATAGCATAAGATAGATAGATAGAGATAGATAGATAGAGAGAGAGAAAGAAAGAAATTGTGTATGTGTGTGTGAGAGAGAAATAGTGTGTGAGAGATAGAGACAGAGAAATAAAGTAAGAGAGAGAAAGAGAGAGAGAGACAGAGAGAGAAATAGTGTGTGTAAGAGATAGAGAGAGAGAGAGAAATAGCATAAGATAGAGAGAGAGAGATGATAGATAGAGAAATGAGAGAGAGAGAGAGAGAGAGAAAGAGAGAAAGAGAGAGGAGAAATAGTGTGTGTGTGTGTGTGTGTGTGTGAGAGAGAGAGAGAGAGAGAGAGAGAGAGAGAGAGAGAGATTTTGTGTGATGCTTCCATGCATGTTCTGTTTTACATCGAGGGTTGCAAATTTAGAAATAAGTAGTTCAAATTAGCAATATGGTTCCTCTGTTTCAGTAGCAGAAGAAACTGGGATCAGGCCAAGGAGTACACTGAAATCCTCTTTTTAAAAAAAAAAAAATTCAGAGCAGAGCACCTAAATAAGGATAGCTTTTCTATTTGCAGTGGTTATTTCTGTAAACACAGGACAAACAAATGCAGCACAAGATGGGGCATGTTTATAAGGTCAGGAGGGGATGCCCTCTCTCTCTATTGGATAATCAGTCCTATTCTTCTCTCCTTCCTTACAGCTTTAAACTCGGCCTGAACTGGATTAGCCCTTCAGTTAGAGCAGTACAGTCCTCAATTTACGATGACAATTCGGCCCAAAATTTCTGTTACTAAGTGAGACAGTTGTTAAGTGATTTTTTTTGTCCCATTTTATGACTTTTCTTGAAGTCCTTCCCCTGGAGTGGGGAGGGAATGGAGATTTTGCAGCATCCTTCCCCTGGAGTGGGGAGGGAATGGAGATTTTGCAATATCCTTCCCCAAGGAGCGGGGAGGGAATGGAGATTTTGCAGTATCCTTCCCCTAGAGTGGGGAGGGAATGGGGATTTTGCAATATCCTTTCCCCAGGAGTGGAGAGGGAATGGAGATTTTGCAGTATCCTTCCCTGGCACGCCCACCAAGCCACGCCCACCAAGCCACACCCACAGAACCAGTAGTAAACAAATTTGAATTTCACCACTGCTCCCACCCACAAGGACCCTGGGTTAGTCACTCCCTCTGGGAGGAGAAATTGAGCTTGATCCATCATGCTCCAATGTGCCTGCACATTTCTCACATTGCCAACTTACCTTTTTAATCATTGTTGAGCATTGTGTCACTGAAACTTCTCTTATCATCACTTATACCCATCTAGAAATAAAGAGAAATTTCCTGACAGTGAGAACAATTAATCAGTGGAACGACTTGCCTCCAGAAATTGTGAATGCTCCAAAACTGGAAGTTTTTAAAGGAGAGATTTTGACAGCCATTTGTCTGAAATGCTATAGAGTTTCCTGCTTGAGCACGGGGTTGGACTAGGAGACCTCCAAGGTCCCTTCCAACTCTCTTATTCTGTTAAATGGAAATGCAAAGAACGAGCATGACTGCCTGTACTGCTATTTGGCTTTTCTGTGTCCAGGAAGGTTTGGTACAAATGTCTTTCTGCTTAAAAACATGCAATAGGACCGTCTTGTTCATTGAAAGGAAATCTAAATGACTTTAAATCATTTAGATTTAAATTAAATCTAAATTTAATTTAATTTAAGAAATTAAAAATTTCTTTTTTTTTTTTTTTTAATTTGATTTATATGCCGCCCTTCTCCGGAGACTCAGGGCGGCTTACAGTGCGTTAAGCAATAGCCTTCATACTTTTGTATATTTATACAAAGTCAGCTTATTGCCCCCACAAACTGGGTCCTCATTTAACCTACCTTAGAAAGGATGGAAGGCTGAGTCAACCTTGAGCCTTGGAGAGATTTGAACCAGCAGTAAATTGCAGGCAGCTGTGTTAATAACAGGGTGCTTTAAACCACTGTAGTACCAAGGCTCTGTTTGATTTCTGAGATTTTGCACAAGATTTTGCGTGATGGCCCCAGCAGTTAAAAGACTGAGAGAGACCCGGGCTGGAAAGCTGACAGCCGAGGTTCAAGACCCAAGCTCCACACGATGGGGTGAGCTCCTGTTACTCGCTCCAGCTCCTGCCCACCTAGCAGTTCGAAAGCAGGCAAATGCGAGTGTCAAGGTTCTGACTGACGAACCCAACCAAAGCAAGCAGGGCTGAGACAATCCAATCTCTTCATGCAAAACTTTAATGAATACATCACTTCGGCAAAGGTGAGGGCAAAACCCGATCTAGCTAATTCCCGCGCAAACCCACGTAGTTAAAGTTTTAGGTTCTCCCTCCCCCTTTTAGACCAGATCACATTGTCCAATGGAGTCTCATGCAGTGGTGGTATTCAGCCAGTTTTATCTGGTTCCCGTGAACAGGGAGCGGCGGCTGCGGGAGGCTCCACCCACCCGCTCAGATGTCATCACATCACGTTTTTGTCACTCTGCGCATGCACGGAAGGCCCTGTGTATGCACGGAGGTGGTGCATACGAGCAAATCGAGCGCGCGTGCACTCACATTTGCGAACCGGTAGCGAAGATAAGTGAATATCACTCCTGGTTCTCATGGTATTGTTATGGGAAAGACTTTTGGCACTGGTAAACACCTGCCAAAGTGCAGCTGTTTTCTTGATGTCTGGAACCTCCATTCCATCTCCCCCTTCCCTCCCCCCATAGTTCTTTGGCAAGCTGAGAAGCGATAATAGTTGCAGCAGCAAAAGCGCCTTTTGAAGCTTGACAGCGAGTAGATAAATAGGTACCACTTCGGTGGGAAGGTAACAGCGTTCCATGCACCTTTGGGTACAGTCATGCTGGTCACCTGACCACGGAAATTGTCTTTGGACAATTTGCTGATTCCTCGACCAAGAAATGGAGATGAACACTATGCCCTAGAGCAGGGGTGTCAAACTCGATTTCATTGAGGGCCACATCAAGGTTGTGTTTGAACATGGGAGGCTGGGGGTGGGCATGGCCAGGTCGGGTGTGGCCAGCTCGACGTCACTCGTCGAGGCTTCGTTTTCAGCCATGACAGCCTCCTGCAGCCCTCTACCAGTGAAAACGTAAACCCTGGGAGGCTGCACATGGCCTCCCCGAGCTCCATTTTCGCTGACCGAGGATTGAAGGAGGCCATCATGGCCAAAAACAGAGCTCGGGAGGGCTGCACAGAGACACTGCAGATCGGTTCTTCACTGTTTCCAGGGAAGTCCCACGGGCCAGATCTAAACACCCCACAGGCCGGCCCCAGCCCGCAGGCCATGAGTTTGACACCTCTACCCTAGAGTCAGACATGACGGACAGGGAAACTTTTATCTCTATCTTTTGCTCAAGACTTGACTTGACTTGCAAAGTTGAGTATTTCCACCTCACCCCATCCACCATCCCTTCATTGTTCCTCCCTCATCCATCTGCCCAGGAACCTAGTAATCTGAGTAGCTCGGTGTGAGAAAGCACTACAATCCAGCCTGTCAGAAGTCATGTGCTAGGCAGAAGACGAGGTTCAAAAAAGTCTGTGTATAACTGGAGTAGAAAGTGGGGGAATGTTTCTTGGATGAAGCCCAGAGCATGTGATAATCAGATTACCGAAGTGTGCGTGCATGGGTCAAGAGGAGGAAGCGAATGAAGTAGCAGGAAGAAATATGCAAGAAGAATTTCTCAGCCAGTGAGACGGATAAAATCTTTGCTTGCCGGGAGTTAACCAGCCAGGCCACTTAGATTTTTGTGTGTCTCTCAAAAACAATGCCTCTTTTTTCCATAAGCATAATTTTGGGGATCCTTCCCCTTGGGTCCAGCCAGTTCCCTCGGGCGTGTGCTAACTCAGACAACTTGCTGAGGAAGGAATGTTGTCCAACGTGGCCCGGAGATGGTTCTCCTTGTGGAGAGCTTTCAGGCAGGGGTTCTTGTAGAGGGAGTCTCCTTTCAGTTGCTCCTCTCGGTCCTCAGTTCCCTTTCTCTGGAGTGGATGACCGAGAGGACTGGCCGGCGGTGTTTTACAACAGGACTTGCAGGTGCTCAGGCAACTTTATGGGATACAACTGTGGCGATTGCAAATTCAACTTTGGAGGACCCAACTGCACGGAAAGAAAACTGCAGGTCAGGAAAGACATCTTCAAGCTCAACGCCGGAGAAAGCTACCAGTTCCTTGCCTATCTCAATTTGGCGAAATATACCACCAGCCGGGATTTCGTCATTGCCGCCGGAACGTATGCCCAAATGAACAACGGCACCACCCCGATGTTCCGAGACACCAGCGTCTATGACCTTTTCGTCTGGATGCACTATTATGCGTCTCGAGACACGCTTCTCGGAGGCGCCAACGTCTGGAGGGATATTGACTTTGCGCACGAAGCTCCGGGTTTCCTTCCTTGGCATCGGCTGTTTTTGCTCCTGTGGGAACGTGAGATCCAGAAACTTACTGGGAATGAAGATTTCACCGTACCTTACTGGGACTGGAGAGATGCTGAAGGCTGCGACATCTGTACGGATGAGTACATGGGAGGCAGACATCCCAGTCAACCAAACCTATTGAACCCTGGGTCCTTCTTCTCCTCATGGCAAGTATGTACAGGCATGAGGTGGGGAGGAGGGAGAGGAATTTGGCTTCCACATACACACACACACACACACACATACACACACATCTATCTATCTAGCATCTATCTCTCTATCATCTCTCTTTCTATCTATCTATCTCTCTATCATCTCTCTTTCTTCAATCTATCTCTCTATCTTCTGTCTATCTCTCTATCTTCTATCTATCTATCATCTCTCTATCTTCTATCTCTCTATCTCTCTATCTCTCTATCTTCTATCTATCTATCATCTCTCTATCATCTATATCATCTATCTATCTCTCTATCATCTCTCTATCTTCTATCTATCTCTCTATCATCTCTTTCTCTATCATCTATCTATCATCTATCTCTATCTATCTATCTATCTATCTATCTATCTATCTATCTCATCTCTCTATCTTCTCTCGCTCTCTCTATCTTCTATCTATCATCTCTCTCTCTTATCTATCTATCATCTATCTATCGATCATCTCTCTATCTTCTATCTATCTCTCTATCATCTCTCTATATATATATATCATCTATCTCTCATCTATCTATCTATCTATCTATCTATCTATCTATCTATCTATCATCTATCTATCTATCTATCTCTATCATCTCTCTATCTTCTCTCTATCTCTCTATCTTTCTATCATCTCTCTCTCTCTATCTATCTATCTATCATCTATCATCTATCTCTCTATCTTCTATCTATCTCTCTACCATCTCTCTATCTTCTCTCTCTCTATCATCTCTCTGTGTCTGTGTCTGTCTCTATCATTTATCATCTATCTATCTATTAAATTATCTATCATCTGTCTGTCTGTCTGTCTGTCTGTCTATTTATCATCTATAATTTATTATTATCCTTCTCATCTTTCCTATTACCTATTTCTTTAGACTCCTATGACTATAACTTTGAATTTGTATTTTATTATTTATGTTGATTGCTTTTATTTAATATCCTATATACATATGGAGATATATATATATATATATATATAATATATATATGGATATGCAATAAGTAAATTACAGGTAGTCCTCAACTTACAACCCCAGCTGAGCCCAAAATTTCTCTTTCTAAGTGAGACATTTGTTAAGCGAGTTTTGCCCCATTTTACAACCTTTCTTGACTCACCTGTTAAGTGAATCACTGCAGCTGTTAAACTAGTAACCCGGTTGCTAAGTGAATTTGGCTTCCCCATTGACTTTGCTTGTTAGAAAGTCACAAAAGGTGAACACGGGACCCCGGGACACTGCCACCGTCATAAATATGAGTCAGTTGCCAAATGAATTTTGATCACGTGACCATGGGGGAGCTGCAACAGTTGTGTGAAAATTGGTGATAAATTGCTTTTTTCAGTGGTATTGAACTTTAATAATAATAATAATAATAATAATAATAATAATAATAATAATAATATAATAATAATAATAATAATAATAATAATAATAATAATAATAATAATAATAATAATGCATAATAAAGTCAAGGAATTAACTTCAGCCAAGTACATTCGGCGAATTCGTAAGATATTAATGTCCAAATTGAGTGGAGGAAACATCATAAAAGCCATAAATACCTGGGCTATACCTGTGATTAGATACTCTGCAGGAATAATTGACTGGACCCAGATGGAGTTAGACAATTTGGACAGAAAAACAAGGAAGCTTATGACAATGAATCATGCCTTGCACCCTAAAAGTGATGTTGACCGATTATATTTACCAAGAGCAGAGGGTGGTCGAGGACTCCTACAAGTAAAGCAGACTGTGGAAGAAGAAAAATGCAGCTTGAATGATTACATCCAGAAAATTGAAGAACCAATGATTAAGGAAGTAAATAAAGGAGGCCTTTTAAAGACAACTAAAACAAAAGCAGAATATAAGAAAGAAGTAATTGAGCAGCGAGCTGAAAATTGGAAACACAAAGCTCTGCATGGCCAATACTTGAAAAGTATTGAAGGCAAAGCTGACCAGAAACTAACTTGGAACTGGTTCAGATCAGGAGTACTGAAAAAAGAAACTGAAAGCTTTATTTTGGCAGCTCAAGAACAAGCCCTAGCCACAAACTGTATGAAGGCAAAAATTCAACATGTTACCACCAACAGCAAATGCCGCCTCTGCAATGAGAAAGATGAGACAGTCGACCACCTGATCAGTGGGTGCAGCAAAATTTCACAAACTGACTACCTACAACGCCATGACCGTGTTGCTAAAATCATTCACTGGAAATTGTGTCAGAAGTTTGGATTTGAGTACAGCAAAAACCACTGGGAACATCAGGTTGAGAAAGTTTTAGAGAATGAGAAACTCAAGATCTTGTGGGACTTTAGGATTCAGACTGACAGGCACTTGGTCCACAACACACCTGACATAACAATAGTTGAAAAGAAAAAAGTATGGTTCATTGACATTGCAATACCTGGTGATGCACGAATTGAAGATAAGCAGCAAGAAAAAATCACAAAGTACCGGGACTTACAAATTGAAGTTGAGCGACTGTGGAAAAAGAAATCGTGTGTTGTCCCGATTGTAATTGGAGCCCTCGGAGCAATACCCAAAGGGCTACCCCGCTATTTAGAAATTCTAAATCTGCCGGACTTGAACATTTTGACTCTACAAAAAACCACCTTACTCGGAACAGCTTACATCCTCCGACGATACCTTAACAGTTCCTAGGTCCTTGGTTAGGACTCGAGCTGCTGAGCTATTAACCAGCCTCAAAGGCTGTGAATCTATAATAATAATAATAATAATAATAATAATAATAATAATAATAATAATTTTATTTCTATACCGCCCTTCTCCCGAAGGACTCAGGGCAGTGTACAGCCTTTTAAAAACACAAACAAAATATACAGACATCAATTAAAAAATAGTTAAAATTATTAAATAATTTCGGCCCAAATTAAAACACAAAAATTTAAAACACCCAATTTAAAATCATTTACATTGATAGCCCAGCCTGGCGGAACAGCAGGGTCTTGAGGGCACAGTGAAACACACGGAGGTCAGAGGTCTTGCGCATTTCCGGGGGCAGTTCATTGCACAGGGCAGGGGCTCCCACAGAGAAGGCCCTCCCCCTGGGTGTCACCAGCCGACATAACTTGGCCGATGGCACCCTGAGGAGACCCTCTCTGTGGGAGCGGACTAGCCGGTGGGAGGCTACTGGTGGCAGAAGTCAGTCTCGAAGGTGGCCAGTAAACAAACTGTTGTAAGTCAAGGACTGCCTGTATTCAAGCAACATTAAAAATTGTTCCATAAGCTCCTGAGCTGATGTTTTCTCCTCAGTTGGAAAATATACATTGACTATTATTAGAGTACAGGGTCTTGATTGAATCTTTACTGACATGGCATAGTATTTAAATTTGGGGGTTATTATATTCCGGCCATGGTGGCTCAGTGGCTAAGAAAGGCTCATTGTCAATTGAAAGATCAGCAGTTCAGTGGTTCGAATCCCTAGTGCCACGTAATGGGGTGAGCTCCCGTTACTTGTCCCAGCTTCTGCCAACCTAGCAGTTCGAAAGCACGTAAAAAATGCAAGTAGAAAAATAGGGATCACCTTTAGTGGGAAGGTAACAGTGTTCCATGTGCCTTTGCTATTTAGTCATGCCGGCCACATGACCATGGAGATGTCTTCGGATAATGCTGGCTCTTCAGCTTTGAAATGGAAATGAGCACTGCTCCCTTGAGTCGGGAATGACTAGCACATATGTGCGAAGTAAACCTTTACCTTTACCTTTATATTCAGGCTCCTAATTAACAATATACCTATTCCACCTTTAGGTCTGCCTCTACCTTCCCCTGCTACAGCATTTAGATAGTAAGCTATATATCCATTTAATATCCCAGCTGTTGGAAGCTACATTTCTTGCAACAACTAACAGCTATTGCTTAACGCATTGTAAGCTGCCCTGAATCTCCGGAGAAGGGCGGCATATAAATCAAAATTAAAAATTAAAAAAAAAATAAAAATAATGTCAAATGTAATTATGAAACTTAGGAGGGAAAGGAAGAATTTTGCATGATATATATGTAATCCAAGATTTACAATCATTCATTTAGCGACTGTTCAAAGTTGAAAAAAAAAAGTGATTTAGGACTATTTTTTACACTTATGTCCATTGCATTATTTCTGTGGTCATGTGATTAAAATTCAGACGCTTGGCACTGGTTTGTATTTATGACCGTTGCAGTGTCCCGGAGTCATGTGATTCCACTTTTGTGACCTTTTGAGAAGCAAAAACAATGGGGAAGCCAGGTTCCCTTAACAACAGTGTTATTAACTTAACTTTTGTGGCCTGTTGGCCGCCAGCCCCTCCTGCAGCCAAATCAGTTGGGAAGACGGAGTGGGTCAACATCAAGGCAACCTGGGAGCTCCGAGGGGGAAGAGGGAATGGAGCTGGCAGAGAGAGAGACAGAGGCGGAGCCTGGGCCATCCGTTAACCCTCAGATGGAGAGTCAACAGCCCCCAGGTCTGGAAGTGGCTGATTAGGAAGAGGAGGAACAGCTGGGTCCAGTGCCTGACATGCGGATGCGCAGAAGGCAGAGGAGAGGAGAGCAGTGGAAATCTGTGGGCTGATCCTTGGGATGGAAGAGCCACCGCTGCTAGTGAAGCTCCACCCTAGCTCTGGGGATAAAAGGCAGGGGGCGGAGATGAATAGATGTGGCAGACAACTATTCATCTCCCTGCTGGATGGATTAGTTAACCTGTGGTGAGAGAGAAACTTTTTGCCAGGCCTGCTGACACCCCTAATAAAGGAATCTTTGAGTTAACTTCAGAGCAGGGGTGAAATGCTACTTGTTTGCTCCGGTTTGGGCAAACCGGTAGTGATAAAAACTACTGGTTCGGGCAAACCGGCAGTAAAAAAAAAGCTACCGGTTTCTCCTAATTTCCGATGATCAGCTGTGCCGCGCAGTTTAGCTTTGCTAGAAAACAGGAAATCCTGCTTTCTAGCAAAGCTAAATCGTGCACAACAGCTGATTCCCCCCTCA